TCCGAGTTTCATCCTATTATTTCTATGCCCACTAAATAGTATTTTGATAGGTAACATGTGGGAACACCACAACCTTGATGTTCTGTTACTACCTTTTGCTTTCTTTTTTGTTCTTAACTTTGGTTGGCTTTTTGTTCTTAACTTCTTATATGAAGAATTGCTCTAGGCATTTGTGTCATGTACAGTTAAAACTTAGAGGATGCTTAGAGGAAGCATCAAGAAATCATTCTTTATTTTCAAACACCCCAAATCAGAGCCCATAGTTAGATGAAAAGTTCCATTCTTATTGCCTACAAGTAGTTTCTGTAATTGGTAAAATTGCCTGTTATTGTTTGAGTGTGTTTGGATCTCCTGCGGTAGGTTTTATATGTTTGAGAATTGACTGGAAAGAAAAGCAGTGGCTTTCCCAAGTCACTGTTTCATTCACACAGGCCGAGCTGTAGGTATGAGATTAACAGGGTCTGACATGAATGGGGCTCCTTCTCTCTCAGGCCTATTGGAAAACAAAACACATACCGGCATACATTTGAGCAACTGTGAGTTGACTTTGGAGAGCACTGGTATTTTTACACGATAACAGTCCATTGGATTCCCTCATAAGTCTTTCAGTTCTTCATTACATAAGGACTTTTCCTGAACTGCAGGGCAGAGAGCAGCATGTATGTAATCCCTGTTTCACACTAATGCATCACATGTGCTTTGGATTTCAAACATCAATATTTGTAGGAACATACAGTAGGGCTCTTTCTGTGAGCAGGGATTGGATTCTCACACTTACTGCCTTCACGGACTCTCCATAATTCACTGAGCATGGGCTTTGCTTTTCTTTACTTAAATTTTTGTACTTCAAAATTGGCCCTTTATATTTAAGTGCCGTGGAACCCTCCAGTAACAATCCAAAGGACTACAGCATGATATTTATGAGGAGAGGCTCTCTTATAGGTGAACATTGCTGTACAGCCTTTGTTTCTCTCCTAAAATATTGTTTTAATTGATCTTACTGTCTAGATCTTCCTCAGTTGTAAATCAGCACATATGTATTGATTGCAATGGTAATATTGATTCACAGAAGCCAAAGGTTTCATCTGATCTGATTCTTGTCATATCTGTAGACAGAGAAATGTGTAATGGTGTTTTTAGGAATGCCTCTTTGTTAGCTGATTAACTTGTCTGGAACAGTTTTTGTGGACCTATTCTGTAACACTACAGAGGGGAGTACCAAACAGCCACTGGTTGCATCAATCATGGGGGATCAAGGCGCAAAAAGAATCCCCAGTTTTGCACGCTCAAAAGCAAGGTGCTGTAATCCCCAGATTCTAAGTGCCAGGTCTCCTCTGCAGTATCCAGAATTCACTGTTAATTTCCAAGGCTCCAGGCACAGGGGAGCTAAGGCAGGTGTCAGAGAACGGGAATCAAAGCGCCCAGTGCTGTGAGCAGGAAGACTTGCAGAGAAACCAGTTGAAAATGCTAAGCACAGAGCCCCGCCTGAAATAGGGGTTCATATCCTGGACAACACTCAGGTTCTTCCATCCGTTCAGGGTTCAGTGCTATGAATCACCTCCTGAACATGGGAACCTACAATGATTTTTCCCAAGAACTGAGCCAGGCTCATTGCTTTCCTTCAAAACATGACTGCAGGCAAGGTTGGACATACCTTTTCTGTAACACCAGTTAACATTGCTAGTACTTTTGCCCAGAAAGGAGGAGAGCTGAGTGCTGTGCCTGCCCAAACCCCGTTGCAGTCGAAGGGGCTTCAGGTTGGTGGTTAATAACGAGGCTGTAGACTAGTGTGAGGGGGAGTCCCTCTTGACCCCTGGCAGAAGGTTTCCCATTGCATTCAGGCTTCACCTAACATCTAAATGTGATCAATTAAGCTATAAAAGGACTATATTCTTCTTTTAGTAACACCATGGCAAAACTAATCATATTAGTACAATTGCACAGCAGATGTTGGCCTTGTACGTCTCAATTATTTCACCTGCTTGGGTTGCAGGCTTCAAAGATCCCAACAGAAGAAAGTGTCCTGTTCCTAAATACGCTGTTTGCATTTATCCACAATTAATCTGTAAAGAAATAATAAAACCTAGAAAGTAGCTTCTCAGAGAGAATTGCTCTCATTTTATTTTGCATGCTCACAATGAAACGCTTGTGAGTGCTCCTAACAGCAGACGGCTTCTGTTAGCTGCCTTTCGCCTGCTGAGTTAAACAGAAAGAAAAATGTTAATGGTCAGAGCTTGTCAGCAGCACATTGCCATTCACGTTTAGTCACACTTCACTATTGTTTTGTGTAGTTGTTAGGATACAGATATGTCTAGGGTCAAAAAGGGAGCGGATTCATCCCTCTGGAAACTTTAATAAAGTTTCAGCTCATGAAAGGCCTGCAATACCCACAAAAAATAAGCTCACTGACTTCTAAAAAAAAGTAAATCAGTGGGCAATGTGAGAAATACTTATAATTTCTTAATTATCTGCATGTCTGCATGTAGCCTTTTTTACTCATGTCATAAGTGCTCCTGTAGCATAAATAAGAATGCATTCTATTTTGCTAATTTTTTCAACAAGACATTTAAAATTGCTTTAGAAATACTGACAAATGTAAGGGAAAGGATGCAAGTGGACTAGAAAGCAGATAAAGCTCAGTCATAGGATTCAGTAGATCCCAGTTTAATTCCATTCCATCAGTGAGAATGAATAATTCACTTTCTGTGCCTAGATGTAAAATGAAGTCAATACTGCTTCCCTCAATGGATCTTGTGTATTTCTACTGCAAGCTCTTGGAAGCAGAGAAAATCTCACATGTCTTCAGAGGGTAACAGTGGGAATTGGTGCATTATCTGATTTTTTATTTGTTATGTGGTACAGAATAGTGATCAGTCAGAATTAATTGAACACAATTCTGTAAGTCTAACACACGATCTTACACTCACACCATTAGATATCCATTACAGAGCAACAAGGGACACTTCAGCTGAGGATAAAATTTGCTTTCCTCTATAAATCCATTTTTTACTGGCATCTCTGCTAAAGTACTTTCATTCTTACTTTGCTGAGTTTCAAATTTGGCATGAGTGGGCTGAAGGCAGCTAATAATTTGATCAAGTTTAAAGTTATTTGAACAAGCTGTTTCAAAGTTTCAGAACTTGGTGAGGGGAATTTTTCTATCAAATTTCTAAAGTGTTTTCTTTTTTTCCCCTTTGCCCTGACCTACCAATAAAAACAGACTGAGTTTGAGATGCTACAGTTGTATGTAAAATCTGGTGGGCTGTGCTACATGTACCCTAGCAGGCTGTTGAACCAAATAGAGTCCTCAGGCTGCTGAAAAGCATATTTGGAAAGGGACTGAGTTAGGAATTTTGGAATAGTGTGCCGGAATCCAGCATATTTCCAGGGGGCCAACCTATTCTGGTGTTTCCTTGCAAGTTTATTAGCAGCTGGTTCAGGCAAAGAGTTACAAGCAACACAGTCGGGTGCAGGAGGGAGCCTGCAATGATGGGGACAATGAGGATGGCCTGGCTAAAGGACGCAGAGGTTCAGCAGGCAGGAGGGATAGGTACTTGAGTGTGTTCTTCATTCCTTGCTAGGAAAATACAAATAGTGTTATCAAATTCAAAAATCAGAAATGAAACCCTGAAAAAACTTGAAAAATTGTCTTTTCATGACAACCAAAAAAACTTGAGGGCTTTTAAGAGCAAGAGGTTTGGAGCTTACTTTCTTCACATCTTGCACTCTTGAAAGCAATGTTTTTTTTCCTCCTGCAACTTAGTTAGAAACCAACACTCAGACTTATGTCTATAATCAGAGGCATTCACCTGAAACTGCCGTGCTCTTTTAAAGGCCCGTCATGTTATTGCCACTGCTATTTTGAAATTAAAGAGGGCTTTTGGAGGCCAAATTGCCCCTAATGTTAGACAGGTATGCCAGACAGATGCCATCTCCTGGCTGTCTCTGTTGTGACAAGTGGAAGAGGTGAGGTAGGTGAGCCTCAGCACAGCGTGCCAGCCTCGCTCCGGTGAAAGTTCTTGGTTCTTTTGTGAAGAAGGAAAAAGAGACGAGGACTGGATTTCAGACACAGACTTTTGTATGCAGAGAGGCAGTCTGAATCCAAGTCCCATAAAGAGGCTGCTGTGCCCCACAGGGACTGGCACTAAAGGAATGGTAAAACACAGCTTTTCCTACCTCAGGATAACCAGTGGCTTAAATCCTAATTTTCCCTGTATATCTGCATCAAAAGCATTTCAATGTGGGAAATAACTATAATATCAGCAACAGCTGCTTTTAATTGAACAGTTCTTTGAACTTCAGGAATACATTAAGTCGTGGGGGGGAGATATTCTAATTACTTGTCCAGTTTTGCAATGTACCCATCAAATGAAGAGTCAGTGAGCTGGTACCTCATTGAGCTGCATTAATCTTAACTATAAGCCTAACAAAAGCCTGTTTAATAAAGAGTGTGTGAGAAGAGAAGCAGGGTGCCTCCATCTCCAGGCTACTGCGTACAAAGCGTGCCTCTGCCGACAGCTCAATGCAGGGAGCTGCTTGGCACTTCACACGGGTCTGTGCCGGCCATCGTGCTCCCTGGCCTCTCTTCAGCCATTTCATCTGCCCCATGGAAAGGGTGTAAGTTTTCCTCCCAACCACAGGGTGAGTGAGCCTGTGTGGAGATGATAAAACCTTTGCAGTTGAGGGAGGTGTTTTTTTTAAAAAAAAACTTTCTTCTTTAAAGCTCTGCTTGCTGCCAGAATATAGTCTCAGAAATGGCTAGAAGGAGAAGGGAAGTTTGTTGACTTTGTTTATAACCCTAATGAAACCTTCACTGAAATATCCAGGGCTGATCAGCAAACAGGAATTCCAGTTTGTTAAAAATAGGTAGGATATGTCAAATTCTATTTTTGTCATGTGTTGCTATGCAAATGAAATGCTCTAAAATAGCCTATCCAAAAAGAAAAAAAAAAAAAAAAACGCCTTACGCTGAAACCCTGTGTTCATGGCTGCTTTTCCAGGTTGGTCAGAGATTGCATCCTGGACCTGAACTCCCTGCTCAAAGCTTCACCTCAACCACTCCATGGCATGAAGGTGAATCAGTAGCTCCTCACAGAACATTTCTAACTGAAAAAAATAGAAATGTATTGGCCAACTCAAAGTATGACCAGTGCTTATGCTGGTTCCTTCAAGGATATTGAGTCTCCCAGTCCTTTACACTTTGAAAAGAATGATTGGAAACCTTGAACACCTGCCTTAAATCAAAAGGCTTATGTAGCTCAAAATATTAATCTTACCTAAGTTAAAAGAAAACATCCACAAGAAGGAGAGATTTCTGTTTTAATCTGTTAGTAAAAAAATATTTTAACAGTTTATATAATAATATAATTTATCAGTGGAATAACTTGCCAGAAATGTGGTGGATTCTTTGCCACCAGCAGATATTTGGAAGGATACCTAAGCTAACTTTAGAAGATAGATGACAGCTTAGCCATGTGCTACAATGTTGATGTAGAAATTTTTGGGTGGATTCGTATAGATAATTGTAATGTTTCTCTACAGTTTTGCAGTTTGTTCATCTGTGAACCAAAATACATCTTGGATAATGCACGATGGCATATCCTGTGTTTATCCCATATCCTAGAGCTTCCTTTGAAATTGCTATTCATGAGCTTAATTATTTAAGAGTATTCCTATCTGGGGTTTTTCTCGCTCAGCTGTATACCGGGGGGGGGTATGACAGAGCATAGCTTGCTGCAGATCTGGGTAGAGGGGATTCCACATTCAGGTGTGTTGGGAGCAGGATTTTGGTGTGGATTTCCTTTTTTCTTTTTTTTTTTTTTTCTTCCTTTCTCTCTCTTTTTTTTTTTTTTTTTTTTTCAGTTTATTGTCCACTCTTGACACCTGAGCAAGGTGGGTTGACTGAGCATCTAGAAACTGTTTTTTGACTTCTGCTGCCTACCACCCCTGTTAATTGACAGTCTGCCTTCTGCCTTTCTGATGCCATGTCGTGCTGCCAAGCCACATTAACTCGGCCTTACATCTTCTGGCATATGCCTCCCCTGGGGCACAGTGCCTGCTGTTCAGCTCCCAGCACTGACAGATGAAGGTAAACACTTCAGGGTAAGCAAGTCTAATGCTCCTTATTTGCACACCTATGAAAAAATCAAAGTCAGCCATTCATCTCTCCTGGTCGGTAAACACAGAAACCAACTGGGCTGTGCTGCATCTGGCTCCCCGGGGGATTGTTTTCATAAGACTTCTTGTGAGGATTTTTGTTGCTGATTTTGAAAACATTTTGAGGTTGGATTGCAAATGTGATGTCCTCATTTACAGCCTTTCCTGAACCATAAATCAAGGGATATGTAATTAAATGAAACAGATAGTCAAAACCTTGACTAAGCTGTTTATTGAGCTTTGGAAGGGAAAGAGATTCTGTGGTTTCACAAAGATCTAATATAAAGATCCACTTATAAAATACAGTTGTTAAGGTTCAGGTATGCCAGCATTAATGCATGATAGCAGCTAGCACTGTGCAGCACATACTAGAGAAACCCATTTGCCTGGATGAAACCCGGACTGTAGGACACTTTGCAATATGAAATGAGAACTGTTGAAATCAAATAACTTGCTTGGGCCTGTGAATTATTTATTTAGGGTTCTTTTTCCATAAACCAAAACATATTTTGCCCCCCTGACATTTTTTCTAACATTACTGGTAAGAGGGGAGATCTGTATTATTTATTTATTTATTTATGTATTTACTTATTTTTAGAATCTTCTAAGATGTTTTAAAATTTAATTTTATGACATAGATTAGCTTTCAAACAAAGAGCTGCTTCTACCTGAAAACAAGTTTTGAGTGGGAGGAGAAGAAAAATGTCAATCTTCTTGCTGGAAAAAAAAAAATCCAATTAGATGTTTGTGAGATATGTAAGTCAGAACAATGCCGCACTTTGACAAAATTTTTGTCAATTTTTTTTGTCAAACTTTTTTGTCAAAAGATTTTGACAAAAAAAAAAAAAAAAAAAAAAAAAAGGAAAAAATGATCAGTATACCCAAGGAGCAAGAAGAGGACGAGATTCTTGCTTTTGAGTCCTTATTTCAGTTAGTTTATATCAGCTGGATAAGTGTCCCTTCTTGCTTTTCATCTGCCCTCCTCCCTCCCCAGCATAAATTGGGCAACCCGAAGCACCACGGTGGTGATGGTCACTTTCACAAGGACTTGAGTTGAGGGTGGAGTTTACAGCACAAGCTGGGAGGCCGGGCAGTCACCGTCCTGCATTGCTGAAGTGATGGGGCATCTGGGGCTCTGCGCTGTAGCACAGTGCTCTCTGCAGACCAAGTGCCACGGAGCTGGGAGCGCTGAGGCTGGCTTTCTCAGTTTTCCTTGCTGCTGGAAACAAAACACTGCAGACAGACTGACAGGTCTGGAGAGAGCACAGAGTCATCAAGAGCCATGTTAGAAGTCAAGCTGGTACACTCCTTAGCGTCTTTTCCAATGTTACCTGCTGATGTTTGATCTGCTGTGTAATGCAAGTGAATGCCACTTCTCTATTTCCCCCATACATTTATATATGTATGTAGATGTATGTGTACATTTGTTATTATACAACTAGTCACTTAAGTAAATACGGATCTCCATGCTTATTCTTACTTCTACCTTCCAATCCTTTTAACTTTAATCCATCCAGCTTTGTGAAATCCAAGTTACGCTCTTCACCTCCTGCCTTGGTGATATATTGTGAGCAAAATTCTTTAAAATTACATCAGTGCATCCCAAGATGGGTATCTTTCCTTTTGTTTGGTCCCTTATATTCTTAGACCACACATACCCCACTAGAGTTTGTTAGAATCTGCATGTAAGCAGTAAGTCACTACTGTTTTCTTCACTGCCATGTGCTGTTTGCATCTTCTTGCTTGGCAAATTAAAAAAATCTTTGAAGGACCACACATAGCAGCTGAGGACATTTCTCCATGTCCTGGCCTTCTGACAGCATTGTCAGCTGTGAGCATGTGAAAAATCAAACTAACCCTGGTGTCAGGGGATGTGCTTTCTTCTACATCTCAGGAAATCCACTCTTCCTAGCTGCTGGTGCCACTGAGCTCCCCTTTTCTGTAGTTGCTCAAGCCTCTCTGTAGCTAGAGATGTCCAGATCTCTTCAAAACTGGGGAGAAGTTTTGAATAGCTACAGCTTTCACTAAGGGGACAAATCTGAGCTCCTATGTAGGTTTGGGGTTCTTTATTTGTCTATTTCAGTTGCAAGCATTTCCAAATGTAAGATAACCTGAAATGGCATCACCTCTCAGGGTTGGAATGCTGATGCCTCAAGATCAGCTTTTGCAGAAATTACTGTAGGGATGTAGTTGGTGTTGGGGTACGAAGATGGGATGTGGGCACCCAACGATTCCTTGCCTAAGCAATGGCAGCAATGACAGCAAACTCTTGCTCAGTGTCTTCAGGAGGGACAGGATTCAGCAGTTGTCTCCATCACTAAGCTCAAGGTATGTTTGGAGAGGTTATATCTGGTCATAGGTTCCCTCTCCCAACACTGATATGTTGCTGGAGGGTGAATGGGAAGTTGTTGGGATTGAGATTGTATGGGAAGGTGTGGGAGAGCAGGGGCTAAGTATGGAAATTGCAGCAGTGAGTCACAAGGACAACCTGCTCATTGCATTTTCCAGAGAGATTAAAGATATTTTAACTGGATTTTAACATTTGCAATGGATTAAAAAAATAATAATAATAAAAAAGGCAGTTCGCTTAATCTTTCAAACTTTGATTACTGAAGAAAGTTTTGCCTCTTCAGTACTGCAGCATGAGAAGTGTTCAAGAATCATAGGATTACATTAAAATTCCACACACAGAAGGTGTGTAGTGGGTAGCAACCAGAAGTATGTGTGACTTAAGACTTGGGATAATGTTGTCTTCTAAATACTGATTAAAGATGAAATACTGTCAACAACTTTTTTTTTTTTTTTTTCCGTACAACTTAATGCAGCAAAAAGCTGCTTCCAAGATGGAAACTTTGCAGTCATCTTATTCTGCTTATCTGTTGGACTGTGATTAATAAAAAACAACTAGGATACGTACTGCCTGACAGAATACTGTTTATTTGTGCATAGAAACAGAATTATAGGCCAGATACTAAGTGCTATTTCAAATACAGATAAAGTCATTAGGACAGCTTAAAGACCTTTGTTTTAAGTTTAATTTATTAGACATTCAGGCTTACATAATGGAATACTTAGATTACTGACATCCACTGGTCTTCAAGGGAATTGTGCACATAAATTATTACATAGGAATGATGGAGCTTAATTTTCAGTTCACCACAGGTGCAGTTTTGTGCAAGAATGAAACTAGGGATATACAATCATTTTCATATACAAGTGACAAAGGCTAACATAAAATCTGAGCACTACACAAGACGCTAGCATGAAGCTGTTACTTCCCACTCCAGAAAATCATACTGAAATGCATGTTGAGCTCACCTTACTGAAAAGAACAGTATGCTTGCAAATTGATTGGGCCGCTTGCACAAATAAAGCAAGCACGGCTTTGCTAGGAGAAAAAATCATTTCAAGCTGTGCATCATGTAAAGCTTATACACCAGTAAGTCCCTGAGCCCTTTCTTCACCAGGTACCAGATATCAGACCATCCGCTTCACCAAATGCTCCGTATGTGGCTGGCGAGGAGTGACCTGTTTCACTCGATGCGTTTGCAATGTGTGTGCAGCACTGCAAAGTGTCAGAGCCTTGCTGAGATGTCAACAGGCAGATAGGCACAGCCAGTCAGTGCTGCCCTTTTGCCTCAGTCAGAGCTGAAAATCCAAATAAGACTAACAGAAGAGCTGCTACACAAGGCTTTGCAAAGATATGCTCTGACTTGCTGCTTGTTTTTAAATGCTGCCTTAAATCTAGATGGCACAGTTAATGTTTTTCTCCTGTGGAAGGCTGGAGGATTAACAGTAAAGCTCTGGTGTGAAATGAATCACTCTGAATAACCAGGAACCATGCTAGAACTGTCTATAGTGCAGGGACTGTATAAACAGTACTGGAGGTAGGCCCCGTTCCAGCAGTCCTTTTGTGCTCTGCAGAGGTTTTGAGTGAATACTTACAATTAAGCACATGTTGACATTTTTGCTGAACAGAGATTGATTTAAGTAATACATGTAAATGTTCTGTGAAACTTGAGTCTCTCTTCCAGGCTGCACACTATCAAAATAATTGTAATTTAACAAAATATGCTGAGAAGCTGGCTTTAAAAATATTGTGAAGAGTGAGAGGAGAGCATCTATAGGTAGGATTTCTCTCTAATATGAGGAAGAGTGATTATAACAAATATTTACATATCTTAGAAACTGAGTAAGGGTTGGGACTACTGGCTTCTGAGTATCAGTAGGATATCAGCTGCCAAACGAGAGAGCGCCGACTTGGATTAGAAAGGAATTGCTACTTGGCTATCCAGTACTCCTTTGAAAAAGGTCAGGAAGGTT